GTCTGCTCAGTACAGTTTTCTCGCTGTGCCTGCAGAGGGCTCTTTAAACAACCCTAACTGATTCGTCTCTGACCCACCTTCCTCTTTCTGATCCATCCTTTCGTATCTGTCGATGGTTCTCAAGAACTACCCAAGACACCAGAGAAGCCATTTAAAGTAATTAGTAATCCGACTGAGATAGAAATCTCCAGCCCCAGCAAGTGGAGCTCCCCCTTTGCCCACCCAATAAACATGTAAACAACTCTAGACAAAATGGGTTGACACGGGGGCTGCCACAATGGGCTCAGACATAACATTGTGTGGATGACCCAGGGCAGGGCGGTGCCTCTGTCTCTGGTACGCAAGGGTGTTATGAATCAGAGCCAACTGAGGCACCTAGCAACACCCTCATATAGAGAATTGGGTAGCAAGTTCGTGCACTAGAGGCTGCTCCTTGAACGACAATGACCACAGCAAACACCTTCCCAGACTCCCAGGAAATGACACAGAACACGTCTGCATGTCGCATCCACTGAGCTCTAAACTACTAGGCTTTGTGCAGGGCTAGATAAGACATTCACATAAATCATGTGCAACACAGATAGCACTTTTCCAGGTAGTAAATTAATGTTGGAGTTTTTACTATATTATTCATAGAGCCTTTTTTTCCTTCCGGTTCTTTATAATGATATTTCTAAAACATGCATTTTTTTGCTTACTATCTTTGCCTTGCTTAAAACTTCCCCTTGCCTGGAACTTTAAATCCAAAGCCTTGCCCGGTCCACAAAACTGTGTGAGCAGCACCCCGAGATGTTCTCCCTTTGTTCAGTTGTTCAAGCTTTTTCTCGGGGAGGGCCTCCTCCCGTGCCCTCTCGCTCTGTGTGTTCAACCATGAAGCCTTGTGCTCCCTTCCCTCATGGATTTCTAAATGCCAAGATCCAGGTTGCCAAGCTCCACATATTAGTCTCCTGCCCTGTTTTGCTCCTTTTTTCCTTTCTCAGAAAATTGCTTCCAAACTTTCTATTGTCACCAGGTGTCCGTGTCTGTCTTGTGTTCATCTGAGCGCCGAGTCCCGGAAGGCAGCGGTCTGAGTGCTCCATCAGTGAATCTCCAGGGCCCACCTCCATCCCTGGACCAATTCACCAGTGCCCAGTCCACCCTGCTTGGCTCTCTGGATGCGGGAAGGAGGGAGGAAAGAGGGAGATGTGCCTGTGCGGAGGCGCAGGAAAGAGAAGTGCCTTCTTTCACTTGACCCAGCCTGTGCAAAAATCCGGCTCCGGAATGGAACTTGGTTCTGGGCTTTCCTGAGAGTCAGCCCCAACCCTGGGGAGAGCAGAGCCAGGCCACAGACGGGCTCTTCCCCTTCCTGTGCGGCCGCCGAGGAGGAAACCGTGTGACACATAACACGGGGCACAGGACTGGCCACACCCTGCGTGGGTCTCTGCTGCCAGGCGCTGTGGTCCTTCTTCATCTGCAGCCTGGGAGCCATGCGGGGCGGCGCCACCTCCCTGAGCCCCACTGCCCTGCTGTGTCTCGGTGAGCCCTGGGAAGAGGGTGAGGGGGGTTCTGCTCTTCACACACGGGCCCAGGGTCACTGGGGGACCCGAGGGATCCAGGAGGCTCGTGAGGAAGGTGAGTCTTCCAAGGGAGGAATTTGTTCTCAGTTCCAATGTGAGCCCAGGGACTTGGAACACCCGTGTTGTTTCCGTGGATTGGAAGGACAAGCTTCTGATGAGAACCTCTCTCCCAGGGGTCCTACAGAGCCTGTGGGTCCAGGTGCAGACACGTGAGTTCTCCCCTGACCCCCAACTCCATCCTCTACTCAGCACAGGAAGCCCCTGTGGGCAGCTCAGGGGAGGGTCTGGGCTGGTGGTGACCAGTGTGGGAGGGGCTTTGGAGTGAGGGCTGAGGGTACTGAGGGGAGGGGAACCCCATAGAACTCCAAGTCTGATTCTTTTCCAGAAACCCTCCCCAAACCCTCCATCTGGGCTGACCCGGGCTGCTTCTTCACCCTGGGCAGCTCTGTGACCATCTGGTGTCAGGGGTCTCAGCTGGCTCGTGGCTTCCATCTGTATAGAGAAGGAAGGAAGTATGATGAGCATATGAGTCTACAGAACCTCAGAATCTGGAATACTTCCTTCAAGATCACTGACATGTACAGTGGCCATGCAGGGAAATACCAGTGTGACTACTACAGCTCACATGACTGGTCACAGCCTAGTGACCCTCTGCTCCTTGTCCTGACAGGTAACAGGGGACTCCTGACACCCTCCCTTCACTGTGAGCTCCTCCCACAGGCAGGAGGGAATGTGTCCTCAAGGGGGGGAGGCCACACCTCTCCCAGACTGCAC